CATTGGTTGCTATTGTTGTTTCTACAATTACTTAGCAATGACAGGAAAAAGTTGGCCTGGACTTGACCTTTCACGTTGTTCTGCCTGTAAGGGGCCAGGGGTATACAGACACACTGAACAATGGTCATTAAATTCACCTAGGTAACTGATGGGGAGTCATGACTCCAATTTAAAGATGTGACACCTGTTCATCTTAATTAAGTGACAAGTTTTGTCCTAAGATATTCCTGTCCCATTACCACGAACCAAAACAGGCTGAGTGTGATTTTCCTGGGGTTGAGCCATTTTAAATGGCTCACTCATTTGAAATTAAATCAGTCCGTTCAGCAGCACCCTTCGGAGTAATGTCCACCTGAAGGTAGATTTCCAGCAGCTCTTGCCTGCATCTTGTCCTGTTTTATCAATGCCTGGATACAAGCCTTGCCAAAAGGAATAAGGAGATATGGTGAAGATACTAGGGGATATAATCAGAATCCAGATGTGTTTTGACAGGCTCAGACTTACTCTAACAAGAAGAAATTAAACAGGGCCACAAGTAAATTACATCCAGGTCCAGGATAAAGCAGATTGGGTTTCAAAATGGTGTACGTGTAAAAGAATGAAAGAGTTTAGCTGACTGGGCATCAGCGGTGTGGCATATCTGCCCAAAAGGCCGATGTGCTATACGAGGCCACACTAAGAGAAATGGTGTCGAGAATGAGGGAGGTGACAGACTGTCCCTACTTGTCACTTGTCAGCCTATGCCTGGAGGACACGTTCCAGTAAAGTGGAATATATTCAGGGGAAACAAGAGGACAGTGAGGGAACTTGAAGCAGTGTCCAGAATAGTTGAAAACCATATTTAGCATTAAGAAGGGAAACCTTGGGCTACCCCGGGGTACTTAAAGTCGGTCTTCAAAGCGCTGAAGCCACACGTGTGGAATTAAAACTCGATCCGCAAGTAGGCTGTCGCGGTTTGAAACGACTACTTTTTGCTGTTAACGCCACATCTTTATCTTAAGGCCAGATCACTCCCTGAGTGCTGTATCTGTCCATTCAACTCTCTTTTGGGTGTCCCAGAGGACCCGAGGCCTTCCTCCAGAAACTGGAGGCATCCTTAACCCTCCTCCTTCCTCTCCCCTGTGTTCATTTTGACACCAAGTCTGTTAATGCTACCTCCTAAAAATGTCTCTAGGCTGCACTCCTTCTTTTGCCTTGTTTTCTGCAGTAACCTTAGGCGAATTTCCCTAATTCCATCTCCGCACTCCATACCCTGTGAGCTTGCTAAAACACCGATTTCATCATGTCGCTCCTCTGCTTAAACCCCTTCAGAGGCCTCCCTGTCAGCTACAGAAGTCTAAATCCTTTCTTGGGGAGTCCTAAGGCCTTCCACAACCAGGTCTGTGGCTACCCCTCCATCCTCAACCCCTGCCACTCCCCTTCATTCCCAGTAAGAGGTTTCCTTTTTTTTTTTTTAAGGATTTTATTTATTTACTTGTTTATCTATTTATTTATTTATTTGTCAGAGAGAGGGAGAGAGCACAAGCAGGGGGAGCGGCAGGCAGAGGGAAAGGGGGAAGCAGGCTCCCCGCTGAGCAGGGGCCCCGATGTGGGGCTCGATCCCAGGACCCCGGGCTCATGACCTGAGCCGAAGGCAGCCGCTTAACTGACTGAGCCACCCAGGCACCACCCCCCCGCCCCCGTAAGAGGTTTTCAATGCGCTTCTTCCACACACAACAGGCTAGTTTGTGTCCTGTGACTTTGCTCATGCTCAACTTTCTGCCTCATACTCCATTCCTCTCTTCTTGCCTCCTCTCATTCTTACTTGTTTTCAAAATAAAGTGGCAGAAGCTGTTGCCCATATTGTTAGGCTAGCGAGGTGTTTTCATCGTACCTTGTGCTTGCTCCAACCATTAAGAACACATTCTGTTGGGGCGCCTGGGTGGCTCAGTGGGTTAAGCGTCTGCCTTCTGTTCGGGTCATGATCCCAGGGTCCCGGGATCGAGCCCCGCATCGGGCTCCCTGCTCAACGGGGAGTCTGCTTCTCCCTCTGCCCCCTGCCTTCCGCTTCCCCTGCTTGTGCTCTCTCTCTCTCTCTCTAATAAATAAATAATCTTAAAAAAAGAACACCTTCTATCGAAATGGCATGTCTTGGCGCTGCGGGCACCCCGTGCCAGGCACACGTGAGGTGCTTGCACTGAACTGGCCACGGGAGGAGCGCCACCCCCGGCACGTTCCCGTTGGGCTGGGCTGTCACATCTTCAGGTGGCCTGGCTGGGGAGACTGCTTCTCTGACAGTTCCCTAACAGCTCTCTCCTCAGAGTAACGAGCCTCCTGGATCCTTTGCCCAACCAAACCTCCCACATGTTACCATCACCTGCCTTCCCACCTCCAGCACACTATGGTATCCGGGAGGCCACTGGACACTCCCGGACACCAACCTTTAAGCCTTTCCACCCCCGGGATCGTTCTTTCCAGCAGCGTCGAGTGTTTCCCGTTGAGGCAACCTGGGAGTCAGGCCTGTCTTCCCTGGAAGACGTGGGCTGTGGGCAATCCCTGGACCTGTTATCTTCAGAGGGTAGGACAGCTGCGGTCACCAGGGCGGGCAGGGTGTGCACATGTGTGCGTGTGGGCGCCTCTCATTTCTCTGTGGCCGTGACCATCCCTGCAGCGTCTGTCTCTGCCTCCCTGGGGTGCCTCCTCTCTTTCCACGTGAGGATGGTGCTTCCAAAACACTGGTCATGACATTCACCCTGGTGGTGGAGATCTATCTGTTCCCAAAGACAAGGCAGCGTGTTGAGGAAGGAGAGCCTCCGACTGGCACAGGGCTGCACTCTAGGATTTACCAGAAGATGTCACTGTCGTCTTAAACCAGTTCAACAAGGCGGGGCAGGAGGACTGTCAGCTAAGCATGAAGGTGACTTTATTATGGGGGTTTCAACTACCTGACAGCCCCCATTATAATGCATGCCTGCTAAAGCTGGTTGAAAGGTTAATCCAAATGTGTCACTGGACTTCATAAATTTCTTTTTTTTCCAAATAATCAGACTAATTGCCACTAAGCTATCGCCTCCAGCCTCACATAAAGGCTCGATAAATATGTGTTGAACGAAGGAGTGAATGAATACCACAGCAAGGGGCGGAAGGAGGAAGCCCGTGGGAATAGTAGTCACCTTTGTTGGTAAAGGCTACAGGGGCACCAGAAGCTGCCGGCCCTTAAGCAAGGGGTCTTCACAGACATGAGTTTTCGTGGCCCTAGCAAGGTCAGGTCCTAGGAAAAGCAGTGATGTAGGCACTCCGCCCTCTCCATCCTCACTCCCAGAGGCTCCTCCTGTGCCCCATGCTTGTTTAGTCTGGAAAAAATATATAAAGTAATTAAAAAAAAAAACCTTTCTGTGATATTTGCAAGGCACTTAGAAGATTCTCCAGAGTTTTTGTAGGATGGGGCATGGCCTCCCCGGTCCCCAGCTCTCTCCCTCCTCTTCCCTAGAAGTTCTAGAAGAAGAGCAGAGTCCCTGTCCAGGAAAACATCGTTTAAGCAGAAATACAAACAAGCAGTCACAGTTCAGTATCAAAAGGGTTTTTACAAAGGCTAAGTAACTGTGGACCTACTATGGTGCCACAGAGGAAGAGGGGAGGGCTGACAGCAGGCGGTGGGGTTACGTTTTCTCAGAGGAGAGATCGTACTTGGACTACAACTTGAAGGATGTTTCGAATTTTCCAGTCACAGAAGGAAGGTCATGCCCAGCAGAAGAAACACCATGCACAGAATAGAAGCATACAGGATAGACCCTGGGGTGCCTGAGTTGCTTGAGGCCCGAGACTCGGGAGAAACGTTACCGCGTTTCAGACTCAGCCTGTCGGTGGTTGGGTCTGAAACGTTGCCGCCAATAGACCCAGCCCGTTGGTGGTTGAGTTGGTTCCCTTTGGCAGGCATACAGAACCACCACTCTCTCAGATGGGAATGAATAGATTTCACAAAAGCCGCCAGCCATTCCCCAGGTTTTCTGTAAGAAACGAAATGCTAATAGTGTTCATTATTGTTTTCCTTCTACAATATGCCCTTCCTTGACCTCAGCCTTCATCCACTGAATCTCAGTGGGAGGAAAAAAATCATTTCTTAATTAAAAAGCACAACCCCAGGGTCGTTTCTCCCCTTGATCACATCTTAGGCTTTGACATTTCTGGGGTGCAGTGCGTGCGTGTGCACCTGCCGTGCGTGCGTGCACGTATGGGTTCAGTGCTCGCTAGTCCACTATTTGAACAAAGAACTTTTTCAGTTTGCAGCTTTAAAGTGAAGATAGCCATACGGCAGAGCCTTCACACTTGTTGACACCCGGGTATCCTTTCAGTAGGTAAAGAAAGGGAGCATTTTGGAGGGGACAGAGTTAACTTTGCCGGGCCGGGAATATTATCATGCGAGCTAAGGCTGAAACCGAGGTGGTAGCCTGCATATGTGCCGTTGGCAGTTACCATGTCTATTTCAGTCCGTGACTAACCACAGCGTTTATTTCTGGAGGCCCCGGGTTGCTCTGCCGATCTCTGCCCACCGCTTCCAGAACCAATGAGCCGTGATGTTAGGACAACAGCCAGAATCCAAGCATCATATTGACACTCTTTCAGTGAGGTTTTATTTTTTAATAAGGTATCCTGATTAGGCTGGATATTGGGAAAATGCTTTCGTATATTTAGTAAGAAAGGTTAGAATTTTGTGATCAGTTAATGGGGATATGAAATAACATGGCTGCCTGCTTAAGCGAATGAGGTTGTCAGGAGGGTTTTGTCACTGGTTGGAGAAAGAGAAACAGGAGGAGCGGGAAGAGGGAGTGAAGAATGACAAGGACGATGTGCTGGGCCTATACTTGGCCTACTTTCGTTAGCTGCAGTGCCAGCAAGTTGGGGGAAAGTGTTAGCTTCCCAGACGGGCTCGTAGGACTCAGACAGTGGTCTACAACACAGTTCACAGGACAAATGCTACCAGATCACCATCATTCCCCCTTTGCCCTCCTTACTGATCAGTGAACATCACATACGCCATGCACCTCGCTGACTGCACTCATGTCACCCACAGCGCTGACTGTTGGTCTTTGTGCTTTGCCCATAGGAACTTCCACTACATCACCATCCTCCGAGACCCAGTGTCCCGGTACTTGAGTGAGTGGAGGCACGTCCAGAGGGGGGCAACATGGAAAGCATCCCTGCACGTCTGTGACGGAAGGCCCCCAACCTCCGAAGAGCTGCCCAGCTGCTACACTGGGGATGACTGGTCTGGCTGCCCCCTAAAAGAGTTCATGGACTGTCCCTATAATCTAGCCAATAACCGCCAGGTGCGCATGCTCTCCGACCTGACCCTGGTCGGCTGCTACAACCTCTCCGTCATGCCTGAAAAGCAAAGAAACAAGGTCCTCCTGGAAAGTGCCAAATCGAATTTGAAGCACATGGCATTCTTCGGCCTCACTGAGTTTCAGCGGAAGACCCAGTACCTGTTTGAGAAAACCTTCAACATGAACTTTATTTCGCCATTTACCCAATACAATACCACTAGGGCCTCTAGCGTAGAGATCAATGAGGAAATCCAAAAGCGGATTGAGGGACTGAATTTTCTGGATATGGAATTGTACAGCTATGCAAAAGACCTCTTTTTGCAAAGGTATCAGTTTATGAGGCAGAAGGAGCATCAGGAAGCTAGGCAGAAGCGTCAGGAACAACGCAAATTTCTGAAGGGGAGGTTCCTTCAGACCCATTTCCAGAGTCAGGGCCAGAGCCAGAGCCAAAGCCACAGGCAGAATCCGAGTCAGAATCTGAGTCAGAACCCAAATCTGAATGCCAGTCAGAATGTGACTCAGAATCTGATTCAGAATCTGACCCAGAATTCGAGCCAGAAGGAGAACCGTGAAAGCCACAAGCAGAACCCAGGCCAAGAGCAGAGCGATGGCAGCGCCAGCAACAGCACCAATGATTACATAGGCAGCGTAGAGAAATGGCGTTAAGTGGCTCCCAGAGGCCTTTGCACACTTGTCCCAAAGCGCCAGTAGAGATACGGCAGATCTTAAAACGTGAGACTTTCCAAACACATCCTGCTTCCTTCAGTTTGGAAGTTAAAAAAAAGTTAAGATGTTGCCTTTACAGTTGCCTTTCAATTAAATGTTATACTGTGCGTGGGTAAAACAACTGTCAGCATGTAATTAAATTGCCTCTTTTGGGTTTGTTGGAGTATTTATAAAATCCAAAAGCCAAACCAGACTCGCCAGAAATTGCTGTTTCGATATTTTAAGAAATGCTTAAATTAGCTATAGAGACAAAATGAAAACATAACATGTGGCCATTCAACTTTGGCTAAGAAACATCTCCAAATTATTCATGATACACTGTTAAAACTTGCTCTTGGAAGCAAACAGTTGTTCCCAGGGGTAAGCAGGAATATACACATTTAAAAAACCAAAATTAACCACAGAACCTTTTATTTTCTTCTGATTTTAACCAGGAATCTATTTAAATGGAATAAGAACTGATGGTAAATCTTACCAAACTGTAGAAATGAAGATTTTTCTCTCCCAAACATGGGCAGTTTTATGTAAGAAATATTGGCTTTTCAAGTAGAACAGGATTCGTATCTTATTTAAGAGATGTTTAGAATTTTCAACTTTTTCTACCTTCTACTGTTTAAAGGTTTTAAACAGGGTGTATCTCATAGTTAACAAAAACACTTTTCTCCCAAGTGAAATACCAGTGTAGAGATCTAATTTTCAGACGCTCTCTGGGCACTGTAATTTCAACAATTCTGGAATCTTGTTGGCGCTGCTTCTCATTCATTTGAAGGCTTCTCCGAGTTGTGCTCATTCCAAAATAACCCATTTAAAGAATCTTTCTTCATCATCTAAATGGTGTTTTGCTGAGTTTCTTGTGATATATAATCCTGGATTAAAGTCAGGACTTTCTTTCTATAGAATTGTCTTATCAATGTTTGTGTAGTGAGGTCCTTATCAAGAAACTCTTGAACAGGATAACGTGTCTAAAAACATTGAAGTTATTCTTGATCAGATAGAATTGAACCTGAATGTGAATGAATTGTTATTGACTTTTTGTACATTCTTATTGTGCCATTTCCAGTTGGGCTGGCTGCTTCTAGCCCATTTGTTCTTTTTTGTGTTGACAGATTGTAGACAATTACGAGATGAAAAAAAAAAAAAAAATGGTAGAATAAGCATTAGGATAGCCAGTTATTCGGTAACACCAAAAGCTGTATCTCGATACTTTGGGTTAACCCTATACCCGGTTTTGTTTGAAGAAAGAAGAGAAAGTGTTCTGCAGTGAGGTTGAGTCTCAGGAGCATATGCATTGAGGAGAGTGATTTCATATTAAGTCTCTGGACAAACACTTGTAGGCGATCAGTTATGAATCAAGCAGGGCGAGAAGAAAGATGCCAGCACCCACTGTGCTAGCAAGCGTCGTGATTCTGGGCAGTTTCCATTTTATGGGTTTTGCTATACTTTGTAGGGACCTACACTAACCCCCTGGCTGTCGAGCCAACAAGACAACTGGAAATAGCATTGATGTTTTCAGGAGCGACACGCTTAGAAGTGTGACGATAAAGTCACATCTTGTACAATCCGCTGCTTATATGCATGATCTAGTCTCATCTGTAATACTTATGGCCACAAGCTAGACAAGAAGCTGCGTATTTGGGTTTAAAAATAAATTTTCTTGACGCTGAGCTTGTATCACTATATCTGAAATGTGTTTTATCTGACAGTATTGCAGTCCTGGGAAATCTGAGAACTGAAGAACTGAAAGGAATTTTTTTTTTTTTTTTAACTCAAACATACCTTGAAGTCAACGTGTTTTAGAGTGAAACTATTTTGTGTACATTGTGTTTTTAAAATAAAGATCCTGTAGATCACTGTGGTATCTCAGTTTTGTTTAGTTTTAATTGACAACATTTGCTCTTAAAACGGTTAAGTACCTTTGGAAAGCAGGATGGAGCCCGAGCCAGTGGAAATGTCTGTTACAGGGGGAAAAAAAGGAAAACCTTTTGTGTTATTGCTGTGGTGTGCATGGCTTGCAGAGATTACGTGCATTTTCTCTGTCTATACTGATTATTGTACATAAGGGATGTTTATAAATACCCGTTTTTGTCATCATCCTATAAATCCCATGATTTCAACTGTAAACATCCGTTCAGTGGTGTGGCTTTACAAACAATTCACTGATTTTGTGTAATTTAACAACAGATATGAAATAAAGTTTAAATTACAGACTCTTAGTAATTTCGTGATTTCAAGTGTTGCAGCTGCTAGGCATCACGACACCACAGACGAGTTCTCTTCTCTCAAGGAGTTTCCTTTTGAACTTGTGGCCACCAGGTGTGGAAGTGAGATGACCCCTGTCTAATCTACCAGGCTAAAATGGCCTTCGCTTTGGGGGCTTCCTTCTGGGGGCCCACACTGTCTCCTCTTTCGGGTAAGACAAAAGTTGTCAAGGAAAGACAAGGGTTGCTCTTCTTAGAAGGACACTGATCCCATTCCTAGGGCTCCACTCTCCTGACCCAATTACCTCCCCAAGGCCCCATCTCCAGATGCCATCACCTTGGGGTTAAGGTTTCAACATATGGATGTGGGGAGAACCCAAACATTCAGTCCATTACTCAGTGCAAATGAAATGTGTGTGAGTTTTAATTTAACAGTTATTGAAATAGATATTTGCATGTCTAAAAGCAGGCAGGAAGGGCGCCTGGGTGGCTCAGTCGTTAAGCGTCTGCCTTCGGCTCAGGTCATGATCCCAGGGTCCTGGGATCGAGTCCCACATCGGGCTCCCTGCTCG